CTTCTGCAAAGACGAATCGGCGAACGAAGCAAATGAATCGATGAAGCAAATAGGGAGTGAACGATGGGCTCACCAGATTAGTGGTAGCCAATTTCTATGTGATATTAATCTTCGTAAGTAGCGCATTCAGACAATCGTTACTAAATGTCGTCTGACGGTTGATAAAACTGAAGGTAAACTCGAAGTGTTGGATACGTTTATTTTGGCATACCACAAATAGGGATAGCAGACCGCAAGCAGACCGGGAAGGTACACTAGCGAGTGAATGTGAGAATTTGCGAATGAATTAATAAGATTAAAATGTTCGTACATATACATAGGAAAATGTCTGAGTCATCACGGTATTTAATAGATCAATATTAAAGGGAATATGATGCATATGCGAGTAGGCGTTAAGCAATGTTCAGTCATACCAGCTCATACAAACCACACAATAATAAAAGCCAATGGTACATATAAGTTATTGTTTTACAAATGGCTTGGTTAGATAAATCAATCGAAAGGGCTTAACCAAATTAAATGTAAGCGAACTCGAATAAACGTGGAGGCACTACAGGAGGTTATGGTTGTGTAAAGCATCAAAAGTTATGTGTAATATGCTGTATGTCGCGCAAATATTATCTTTATATCAATATCTTTCAAGGTTCCGGTCACCAGGTATATATACCTGCACGCTTTCGCGCCCAGCTTCCCAAAAAGCAACCTTTGAGTTACAGGACTCAGTCACTTACTACACCGTTTAATTGACAATAATCACTGTTAAATAGAATACTGAAATGAATACAACTTCCTATCACAACAACGGCAAATAGTAATCATAATACAAAGAAGAGAGTAAAAAAACGATGAGTGCAGAACGTATGATCACTAAATGACTCAAGCTTTGCATTTACTCTCTACAGGATAATATAAAGGAAATTGTGTGTATAAATTGTGTGCATAAATGAATTGTCCGTTCATAGATGAATCACTGACTGTTCAAATAATAACTAAAACTTGTGCAGTTTCAAATTTGTGAACCATTCTGTCGGCCATGGAGCCTTTCGAAGATGCTCATGGATGTGTTGTTTGCTCTGATGTAGAAAAGGTGGATCTTGTTTTTGTTCTTCCTGAGCATTACTTTTGTGACCACGTTAAACATGCCTGCGCCGCGGTCATTACTTTTTCTTCGAGGTTGCGGAAATGGATATACCCAATCAGTAGCTGATCATCAGTTTACAGGTAATGAAAATTTAAGGGTTTCCATATGGCTTTTCGTTTGTGTGACGTGATAGCCACCACCACAGTTACTTATTTTATAGGTGAGTTTCATTAAAGTTACCTCTGACCAGCTCAGGCACTCCGTGAAACACCGTATAAATTTGCTAATGGATTCCTATTGATGTACTAGAAGCTCCCATTATTGATCATGGTTTCGCAACAGTGAATCAGATTAGGTAGGAGTGTTTGTACATAGGTCTTTGAGATGTTATAGAAATTAATCTGGCAACTAGAGCCGAGTCTAAAGTTACCTTAGACGGAAGGGGTTTTCGTTCGTATACCTTCGAACTCGTGAATAGATTAGATATTTAGGCCAAGGAAATGCCCATTTGAAACATCACGAAGTATTTATCAAGCCGAATTTAAGGTGATTTCATCATTTGTCAAACTGGTTGTGTTAGGACATTAAATACGAGTAAAAGTAGATGAGATTATTGCAGATATATTCACTTAAATCTGGAATATGAAGTTGGTTCATAATTTTTATCCAACGTTTTCGTTTCTTTCAAGCTATAGTTCTTACTACTAAAGTTTCATTTATTTAGAATTTATTGATTTCAATCACAAAACCAATTCGAACTGTTATTAACAATTTTTTCTTAGGAAATAAATATGTTAGTGATTATTTGAACTTTGTAGCTCAGTGGATAGTGTTTAAGATAACAGCTATTCAGCTCAATGCTTACTGCAAATATTATACTGTGTTGAAGTAAGTACATCTAGTCTTAAATTGTAACCATCTTAGCCTTACATCATGCTATATTTCTCTTTCATATAACATATGTTAATAGCATGTTTGGTGGTTTGGACCGATGGAAATTTCTCCTCGAATTTTCATATGCTTTCTGTCTGTTTGACTGTACTCAGTCAGAAGTCATTGGTTCAACAATTGATACGTATTATTAAGATTTTTTCCTACCAACTTTTCAATTGAGAAATTAAGATTAAATCTTAGAAGCAAAGAAAAACAACTGTGACTTTTTGATTACGTGTATTTTAATTGGATACAGTAAACAATAATAATTATTTCACTGGCTGTTTGGAAATCAGTTATATAAAAACGTTGATATTTTGGTCTCAAGTTACATTCTATTCTTTTACATACGAATCGATTCACAGTGAAACGTTCGAATTTTTTTTATCTCTCAATGTATTCGTTACTACTTCGATGATTTGTCGAAATTCAATAATTCATATTTCTCCGTCAATCATCTAATTATATCTGTAGATATTCGTTTGTGCTTATAACTTGATGCTTACTAAAAATTACAGCCGCTCATTAGAAATTTATCACGCAGATATTCGGTCAGTTAGTTAGAACGTAGAATTTTGTACTTACGTACATCTGTTCAGGTTGCCGTACCACATTAGCACAGAGACGCAACTGTCAGTTCAAATCCAATAGTGGTAGCGATAGTAGAAATATTAGCAGTAATCGGATAGTTTGAGGTTTGAATATATTATTCACGAAGTATAATTCCGCAAGAAAAATGTGGAAAGATAAAGACAAAGGTGGTGAGGAATTCGAAAGATTAGAAATTGAGAGTACACAGAACGTGCATGCACCTACGCCATCGCAAACTATTTTGAGCCATGAAATTCAAGGTCTCTAACCATCGGTTACTGTCGTCTCGAAAACCCTAACCAGGTAGTCTACATCTACCAACATGGCTCAGTCCACTTGTCAGTAGCTTCATGGATTTGTGCCATGTTTTGCTGTGGCCGCTATCAGTTTTCTTACAACCTATTTCTACCACAGACAACATCGCTCTTCGAGGTAGTCGGCGGTTGGGTATACGAAATACTTGTTTACGGAATTTGAATAGTAGTAGTCTAACAGCTATATATATATATATTATAAGTGTATTTTACTTCATTTACATTTCTACTTCTAATGCATAGATCAATATAACTGCAAAATATTCATCGATTTGGTTCAATCAGCACAAATATTTATCGTCAAATGAATTCCTTATTCGACTATTCAAAGGATGTTTCATTTTCGGTTTCATTGCAATTCCTTTAGTAATGGCTCTCTGCATTTGGCATACATATTTAATTCGTAATGGTGAGACAAGTATTGAACGTCATATCAATGCAAAATTCACACAAATATTAAAACAACGTGGAGTAATTTATCGTAATCCGCATAATTTTGGTATATTTTTAAATTGGATAAAATTTCTGTGTCTTATTGATAAGCATGAAATGGTGAATTACAATTTCAAGAAGAAATCATTCCATTTATATGTTGTACTTTGTAAAAGGTTTTTTAATCGTATTCTACTGCCTTCAAATCATGCACCTTATGATGATGGTTTCAATTATGAATTGAATGTTGATACTGCAGAGTCAGTTCTCGAATCTTTATCCGAATCTGGAATGTATTAATATAATCTTTTTCATTTCATAACTATATTTCTTTCTTTTTTTCTATTTCGTGGTATATTACTTATTAGTGTTTAAGTAGTATAAGTAAATTCAGTGAATTAAAAGGTTTGGTTAACATAACAGGTGGTAATTTAAGCCAAACCATTTATACTGCCAATTTGTGTTCTTGTTCCATTTCTCTAATTTACAACACTAGTTAATGGAGTTTTATGGAATGTGTTCCACGCCTTGTCAGTGATGATAAACTATGTAACAGGATATTTGGTTAATATTTCATCCAGATGTTCACTCACATTCAGCAATAAGGTGGTAGTAGAATGTTTTCAGGGGCGTAAAGCGATAATGAATATTAAGCAATGTTTGTTGTTTGAGCGGTGTCTGCTAATCTCAACTACGCTAAGATTTTGAGTGACAAAATATCTGCAAAGTTTGAGTACAGTGGTGTAAAGAGCTGAGACATTAGGTGACCTATGAAAAATATCCAGAACTACAAGTGTAAAAGGTATTTAATTGAACTATTTTGCAAACTATAGATAGGATAAAATGATCCACTGCTAGTTTACTATACTGTAACGATGTGGAGAAACGGTTGAACTTTCCTGTAGTTATATTCTCGAGTCAGTCACTCTCGCGAAACAAATATATATATATATATATATATATATATATATATATATATATATATATATATATATATATATATATATATATATAATATATATATATATATATTGTTTCGCGAGAGTGACTGACTCGAGAATATAACTACAGGAAAGTTCAACCGTTTCTCCACATCGTTACAGTATAGTAAACTAGCAGTGGATCATTTTATCCTATCTATAGTTTGCAAAATAGTTCAATTATATACCTTTTACACTTGTAGTTCTGGATATTTTTCATAGGTCACCTAATGTCTCAGCTCTTTACACCACTGTACTCAATCTTTGCAGATATTTTGTCACTCGCAATGTTAGCGTAGTTGAGATAAGAAGACGCTGCTCAAACAACAAACATTGCTGAATATTCATTATCGCTTTACGCCCCTGAAAACATTCTACTACCACCTTATTGCTGAATGTGAGTGAACATCTGGATGAAATATTAACCAAATATCCTGTTACATAGTTTATCATCACTGACAAGGCGTGGAACACATTCCATAAAACTCCATTAACTAGTGTTGTAAATGAGAGAAATGGAAGAAGAACACAAATTGGCAGTATAAATGGTTTGGCTTAAATTACCAACCGTTATGTTAACCAAACCTTTTAATTCACTGAATTTACTTATACTACTTAAACACTAATAAGTAATATACCACGAAATAGAAAAAAAAGAAAGAAATATAGTTATGAAATGAAAAAGATTATATTAATACATTCCAGATTCGGATAAAGATTCGAGAACTGACTCTGCAGTATCAACATTCAATTCATAATTGAAACCATCATCATAAGGTGCATGATATGAAGGCAGTAGAATACGATTAAAAAACCTTTTACAAAGTACAACATATAAATGGAATGATTTCTTCTTGAAATTGTAATTCACCATTTCATGCTTATCAATAAGACACAGAAATTTTATCCAATTTAAAAATATACCAAAATTATGCGGATTACGATAAATTACTCCACGTTGTTTTAATATTTGTGTGAATTTTGCATTGATATGACGTTCAATACTTGTCTCACCATTACGAATTAAATATGTATGCCAAATGCAGAGAGCCATTACTAAAGGAATTGCAATGAAACCGAAAATGAAACATCCTTTGAATAGTCGAATAAGGAATTCATTTGACGATAAATATTTGTGCTGATTGAACCAAATCGATGAATATTTTGCAGTTATATTGATCTATGCATTAGAAGTAGAAATGTAAATGAAGTAAAATACACTTATAATATATATATATATAGCTGTTAGACTACTACTATTCAAATTCCGTAAACAAGTATTTCGTATACCCAACCGCCGACTACCTCGAAGAGCGATGTTGTCTGTGGTAGAAATAGGTTGTAAGAAAACTGATAGCGGCCACAGCAAAACAGGGCACAAATCCATGAAGCTACTGACAAGTGGACTGAGCCATGTTGGTAGATGTAGACTACCTGGTTAGGGTTTTCGAGACGACAGTAACCGATGGTTAGAGACCTTGAATTTCATGGCTCAAAATAGTTTGCGATGGCGTAGGTGCATGCACGTTCTGTGTACTCTCAATTTCTAATCTTTCGAATTCCTCACCACCTTTGTCTTTATCTTTCCACATTTTTCTTGCGGAATTATACTTCGTGAATAATATATTCAAACCTCAAACTATCCGATTACTGCTAATATTTCTACTATCGCTACCACAATTGGATTTGAACTGACAGTTGCGTGTCTGTGCTAATGTGGTACGGCAACCTGAACAGATGTACGTAAGTACAAAATTCTACGTTCTAACTAACTGACCGAATATCTGCGTGATAAATTTCTAATGAGCGGCTGTAATTTTTAGTAAGCATCAAGTTATAAGCACAAACGAATATCTACAGATATAATTAGATGATTGACGGAGAAATATGAATTATTGAATTTCGACAAATCATCGAAGTAGTAACGAATACATTGAGAGATAAAAAAAATTCGAACGTTTCACTGTGAATCGATTCGTATGTAAAAGAATAGAATGTAACTTGAGACCAAAATATCAACGTTTTTATATAACTGATTTCCAAACAGCCAGTGAAATAATTATTATTGTTTACTGTATCCAATTAAAATATACGTAATCAAAAAGTCACAGTTGTTTTTCTTTGCTTCTAAGATTTAATCTTAATTTCTAAATTGAAAAGTTGGTGGGAAAAAATCAAAATAATAAGTATCAATTGTTGAACCAATGACTTCTGACTGAGTACAGTCAAACAGACAGAAAGCATATGAAAATTCGAGGAGAAATTTCCATCGGTCCAAACCACCAAACATGCTATTAACATATGTTATATGAAAGAGAAATATAGCATGATGTAAGGCTAAGATGGTTACAATTTAAGACTAGATGTACTTACTTCAACACAGTATAATATTTGCAGTAAGCATTGAGCTGAATAGCTGTTATCTTAAACACTATCCACTGAGCTACAAAGTTCAAATAATCACTAACATATTTATTTCCTAAGAAAAAATTGTTAATAACAGTTCGAATTGGTTTTGTGATTGAAATCAATAAATTCTAAATAAATGAAACTTTAGTAGTAAGAACTATAGCTTGAAAGAAACGAAAACGTTGGATGAAAATTATGAACCAACTTCATATTCCACATTTAAGTGAATATATCTGCAATAATCTCATCTACTTTTACTCGTATTTAATGTCCTAATTATGAATGACGGTAATAGCATTGAACTCAAATAAAAAGTCACAATCTTCTTGATTAATCTAATGTCTTTATAACGTCATTCCAAGCCTTTTACAAGTAACTTGAGGAAGGCAGTGACATATGCAGCCATTACATGTTGTAATTGATTACAACTTTCAGGTGAGTGTCTAAACCTGGCTAGTACCATATGCCTAACGTCAACATTTTCTATTCCATAGTTTCATAGTACAAACCGAAGGTATACATCTTTTTCAGATACAAACTCAACCAAAAGACTTAATCATACTGTTAAGAGTCTGTCAAGACTGCTGGAGTTCCAAGCAGACATTATATCAGCCTATATCAGGTCCAGTTCTCGGCCACTGAACATCATTGCGAATTTCCTATGTTTCTTAATGGTCAAAATAACCTTGGCATTTCTTCACTGATTTCTGGAAAAAATTTTCAAGGAGTCACCAGATGTTCGTTGCGGTGATTAATTGTTGAATTAGATCTAAAAAAAGCAAAACATATCTCTTCTTATTTGACTTACACTATTCCTCTTGTTGAAGTTTGTTGCATTGATATGCGTATGAACCAATACATTGATAAATAGATTTGGGGGATGATACATTTTTGTTTGGCTTAATTGTCATTAAATCAGGCAGGAATAAGCGAATCAAACATTTTGTGATGTACATGCAATCAGATAGAAAATACATTTTCATTATTCCAAAAAAATTAGTATTTAGTGGTGATCATAGTGAATCTCGACTCGGTCATAACTATAGTTACAAATAAATAAAAGCCGTGTGAATGAAAATGATTTGCTTATTTGTACAGTTGACTTCGAGTAACACGACCGGTTTGACAAATGATGAAATCACCTTAAATTCGGCTTGATAAATACTTCGTGATGTTTCAAATGGGCATTTCCTTGGCCTAAATATCTAATCTATTCACGAGTTCGAAGGTATACAAACGAAAACCCCTTCCGTCTAAGGTAACTTTAGAGTCGGCTCTAGTTGCCAGATTAATTCCTATAACATCTCAAAGACCTATGTACAAACACTCCTACCTAATCTGATTCACTGTTGCGAAACCGTGATCAATAATGGGAGCTTCTAGTACATCAATAGGAATCTATTAGCAAATTTATACGGTGTTTCACGGAGTGCCTGAGCTGGTCAGAGGTAACTTTAATGAAACTCACCTATAAAATAAGTAACTGTGGTGGTGGCTATCACGTCACACAAACGAAAAGCCATATGGAAACCCTTAAATTTTGATTACCTGTAAACTGATGATCAGCTACTGATTGGGTATGTCCGTTTCCGCAACCTTGAAGAAAAAGTAACGACCGCGACGCAGGCATGTTTAACGTGGTCACAAACGTAATGCTCAGGAAGAACAAAAACAAGCTCCAACTTTTCTGCACCAGAGCGAACAACACGTCCATGAGCATCTTCGAAACGCTCCATGGCCGAAAGAATGGTTCACAAATTCGAAATTGCACAAGGTTTAGTTATTATTTGAACAGTCAGTGATTCATCTATGAACGGACAATTCATTTATGCACACAATAATATTTCATACATGTAGTTCCTTTATATTATCCTGTACAGAGTAAATGCAAAGCTTGATCATACGTTCTGCACTCATCGTTTTTTTACTCTCTTCTTTGTATTATGATTATTATTTGCCGTTGTTGTGATAGGAATTTGTATTCATTTCAGTATTCTATTTAACAGTGATTATTGTCAATTAAACGGTGTAGTAAGTAACTGAGTCCTGTAACTCATACGTTGCTTTTTGGGAAGCTATGCGCGAAAGCGTGCAGGTATACATACCTGGTGACCGGAACCTTGAAAGATATTGATATAAAGATAATGTTTGCGCGACATACAGCATATTACACATAACTTTTGATGCTTTGAACAACCATAACCTCCTATAGTGCCTCCACGTTTATTCGAGTTCGCTTACATTTAATTTGGTTAAGCCCTTTCGATTGATTTATTTAACCAAGCCATTTGTAAAACAATAACTTATATGTACCATTGGCTTTTATTATTGTGTGGTTTGTATGAGCTGGTATGACTGAACATTGCTTAACGCCTACGTGCATATGCATCCTATTCCTTTTAATATTGATCTGTTAAATACCGCGATGACTCAGACATTTTCCTATGTATATGTACGAACATTTTAATCTTATTAATTCATTCGCACATTCGCACATTCACTCGCTAGTGTACCTTCCCGGTCTGCTTGTGGTCTGCTATCCCTATTTGTGGTGTGCCAAAATAAACGTATCCAACACTTCGAGTTTACCTTCAGTTTTATCAACCGTCAGACGCCATTTAGTAACGATTGTCTGAACGCGCTACTTACGAAGATTAATATCACATAGAAATTGGCTACCACTAATCTGGTGAGCCCGTCGTTCACTCCCTATTTGCTTCATCGATTCATTCGCTTCCTTCGCCGATTCGTCTTTACAGAAGATCAGTAAACGCTCTATACAAATCTGGTGAGATTACGAATATGTAGAAATTGGCCAGCACACTCCCATAGATCACACCAAGCCTCATGATACGTAGAATATCAATGCGTGATGACTGAGTTAGAATTCAATGGTATACATTTTTCCACTTCAATTTAACAAAAGTGTGCATAATCTGTTTTGTTTGTATTACTCAAATCTAATACATAATTAGGACGATCAACTAAATCAAAGTGTCAACATATGATGAACACAAAAATAAGAGACACTTCAATTTTATTCATAGAATCAGTGATATCAGTTTGTTTATCGTCTAAACAAACCAACTTGATGTAAATAAAAATACTGCCTATTATTACTCGACGTGAATTCCGATGGTTTAATTTGTTGCTCTGGGATAGGTATTCTTCCTAGGGTAAATATGTCCTTTGAACAGTCTTGTCACATATTTACCTATCAAATGATTCATGTTACAGTAAAAGCAATATCATCAACATATGACGTAACGAAATTTCATGTATCATTCTGAATAACTATCATCGATTTCTCGCCATCATACGTTTTTTTCCCTAAAAATGTAACAGTTATACATTGAATTGAAATGGTTGTCTTTACCGATAAGATTATTCCAAGGTGTAAGTAACGAGATTCTGTGATCTTTATAAGCTTTCTAAAGTAATAAGATCATCCTATGAGCATGCTGTTTGTCAGAAACTAAAATTTGAAAGTAGTTTAGTCCAACAGAATAAAACCATTCGATTGTGTAACTCTATTTTATGTACAAGTTTGTTTACACTTCTTATAGCCTATCTACATTGAAATTGTCAAACCTCATTTGAATTGTGTTCTGCTTTCTACACATGCCAATATTATGAAATTACTTTGTTCTTCTTCACCATCAGCGCGCGAACTCTGAAAGTGGTAACTTTTTTCACGTGGTATAGTGTTTTTCGGAAATTTATCATTCGTAGGGTGTAGAATCCTTTTTGAATGTTTTGTGTTTTGGAAAATTCCTCCATGTTTACATATTTTTGTTATGACATGACGGACCTCTTCTGTTGACATTTTTGGTATTTTATTTGATTCCAATTTGAGATTTTATCATTGTATATTGTTATTATTTCTATATTTTGTACTTATATTGAAGTTTTTGTGTTTGCTTCTGATCTGTATATATGTTGTTTAAATTTGATCTTTAATATGGCTACAGCCATATTTGGATTGATACGGTAGCTGTTGGACTTAACGTCACTTATTTATCTTTGTTTCGGATACTCTTCGGAGTAATTGTAACCTGGAAGGTGCATTAATTCCAGGTACTGCTTTGTATTTCCATCTTTTTATTAATAAAGACCGTTTTCTCCTAGAATTTTTGCTTTTCTGGACCTTGAATTGGGAGATACGCGTTCGGAGTGCACTTATTGGAACCCGTTGGAACTGCCGCCGTAGAAATCCATTTACATAGGGTATTACACTTATTTAGTAGAGTTTACCTATTGTACCCGGTGCACTTTGCTTCTAGAAAGCAAACCCTCTAAGTTTTTAATCAGTTAATAAATACTGGCCGTTTGATAACGATTTTGACTTCTGAATACACTAGTTTGGGTCTACTTACAGTGACTCTTACACTTCATTACTGAACCTCTTAAAATCCGCCATTGATTTTTAGTATTAACACAGTTAATACACAATAATTTATACACTTAGATATTTGAGTTACTTAGGCAAGCAATTTTCCTACCCAATTTTCCATTATGACAAATAATTCGAGTAAAAGAGAAATGTCTATAAAACTTTTAAACCACCCAAAAGATCAAAATCTGCAAACCCTATGTCAGATGAATCTTCACTAAGTATTCCAATAGTAAAACTCGTAGATATAAGAGATACTATACCCAAATATACCGAAACGTCTACATAGAAAAATCTTCAGCATAATCTTGTAGAGCATAAATCTGGGAATTCACAAACCCAGGAGTTGAATGCTCCATCCGAAACCGTTAATAGTAGTAATAACCATGGCAGCGAGATACGACAGTTACAAAACTCACTTGCTCAAATTAACGATAAGCTTAACCTGTTAGCACCCCTCATGCACTTATGGGCCCTAAACAATGATAGGAACCTCGAAGAATTAGCCAAAGCGGAATATATCCGAGATTTTGTAGCTGAGGAAGTTACGAAAAGAATAATGTCTTCCTGCAATGCGATTGTATATAACCTCTCCGACCACACATCCTTGAATTCGCTAAAGGATACCTTTCTAAAAGCGTGTAATATGGCAAACTTCAGCTGTCACGTCACTTGCCTCAGAAAAAAATCGGACAAAACAACTTGCCCTCTCCTTTTCAAATTCGGCTGCCGCAACGACGCCTAACAATTTATCCGTTTGAACAAAAATATTAGCTCATCATCCTCATACAAAGAAGTAAAGGTTACCCCGGATCTAACGCCTTGTCAACGTCGCGTAAAAACAAGAGAGGCAACTAGATCACATAACGGTGTGACAGCAGACAATCTACAGAAAATTACCCTCAATGTGATGAAAGTAAATAAACAAATAAACCACAATGTAGATCTTGATGAGCCTGTGGACTGTAAACCTTCTAAAAAGTACGGATACCCTCTGTCACCAAGAAATCGAACGACCCTTGCATTCCTAATCCCGGCTGTTCGAACGTTGACTTGACTGAATATGTCCCAAAAAATAACACAGTTCCAGCTAAAACTAATCAAATTAAGAATCCATCCCCAAAATATATTTCACGAGAAAATACGATAGAAACTGACGTGTTTTTGAAAAACACGTCCAGGGGACCAAAACATTCTCCGTCTTTAACTAAGAAGAGTGAACTGATTAAATCTTGGGTCTCAAGTAAAAAAATAGGTGGGATTCAAACCCGCTCGCGTGCGACTTTCCCAGCTACGATGAACAGGTTCACTCCTTTAATGTCATGTGATGTGCCCCTAGCCTCTCCAAGTTGTAAGACTGATAATATTAAGAACATGTCAGACCAACATCTGATCATGCGCACAAATAATTATTATTATAGAGCTTGGTGCACTGCTCAACCAC